CGGGTGGCATTCATTGGCTGCTGGGGCGGGAGAGGCTGGGGGAGGGGAAGACGGAGTTTCTAAGGGGCTTTAGTCCGGACAATGAAGCACACACAGCCCCTCCTGGGAAGGCTGCAGCAAGGCAGCCGGTCTCATTCTAAAGCCCTCTCCTCGGGACCTAGAAATCACGGAGTGTCGGGGGGTGGGGAGAGGCGGGCAGACAAGGTCAGACACAAATGCTCAGCTCATTCCCTTCCCCCTCTAGAGAAAACCGGGCCACAGAGGCCTGGGCCTCAGGAGCCAGGGCTTCGGGCTGACTTTCCTTTGTCGTGTGGGGGTAGGGGGGAGGCCTGGCCAAGCGTCTAGCCCCCGTTCTCTGGAGGTCTTGTTCTAAAGTCTCTCTTGGTCTCTTTTTTCCAGGCCTGATCACTTGAACGGACATATCAAGCAGGTGCACACTTCTGAGCGGCCTCACAAGTGTCAGGTAGGGGCCGGGCCGGGGCAGAGAGGGGCAGAGAGAGAATGCTGCTGTCCTCGGGGCGGCCACGGCCGCGAGCCCGCTGACGTCTGAGCGGCCGGCCGACTGACCGCGCTGTGCACACCTCCCCCTGCCCCCTCCGTCTGCTCTCCTTTGTTCTCCCCCGCCCCTCCCTCCCACCGCTGATGCCCCCTCCCTTCTGGTCGCTGGGTCCTGGTTCCCACCGTCTCTGTCTTCGCTCGGCTGCTTGGCTCCCCTCTCCTGGCGTCTGCCAGCTCCTCCGATGCTGGGCCACAGGGCACATGTGTCGTCTGGGGTACTGGCAGCCCGGCGGTTTGCAGGGGCCACCGTGGGCAGAAGTGGTTTCGGAAGGGCTTCTGGTGGCCCAGCCCACACTGCTTCCCCTTGTGTGCCTGGCAGCCCGACCCAGCGAGTAGCTGGGTCCCCTCAGCTCAGGGCCCCTGGCGGCAGGGGTGGGGGCAAGGAGGCAGGGCGCCGGTGGTCTCATCTCTGGGCACTGGTGCCCGCGTAACCCGTCCTGAGCCACGCGTGCCCCCAGCCAAGGGCTTCGAGAACTGGAGAGCGAGGTGGCTTCCTGTCCTGGAGAGCTCTTTGTGTAGCAATGGGTAGGGGGGACTGAGCCAGATGCTCACCCCTGGTGTGTCTGCCTGAATGGTGTCTGGGTGCCCTGTGGTGCCCAGAAAACCACGCTTCCTCTCCTGGCCATTGAGCAGTGCTGTGTGGGTGGAAAACATGCCTCTCTCTTCTCCTTGGTCATCTTCCCTTTCCTGGGCCGAGGTCTCACCATCTCAGGCGGGAGACAGTTGTGGGGTGACCCGCTTCTCTTTATCCTGTTGGTGGCAAGGAGGGAGTGCTCCGGGGAGACCGACAGCAAGGGCTGGACGCACTGCAGGAGGGACGGGGAGCCCCTAGGGGCCAGGTGTGGCGGTGCTCCCGCAGGCCAGGCAGCCGGGCGGGCCTGCCAGGATGCGTGTGCACTCACTGCCCCCTCTCTCTCTGTCTCTGATCCTCCGCCATGGAGCACGCTCCAACTCCCAGGTAGTGTGCTGAGGTGCCCAGCGGGCAGTGGGGGCGTGCCCGGCGGCCTGGGGGGTAACCTGCACTCTCTGCCCTTTTTCCAGGTGTGGGTTGGGAGCAGCAGCGGCCTGCCGCCCCTGGAATCTCTTCCTAGCGACCTGCCATCATGGGACTTTGCCCAGCCTGCTTTGTGGAGGTCGTCCCATTCGGTTCCTGACACCGCCTTTTCCCTTTCTCTAAAAAAATCCTTCCCAGCCCTCGAAAACCTGGGCCCGGCACCCTCTAGCAATGCTCTCTTCTGCCCAGCCCCCCCGGGATACCTGAGGCAGGGCTGGACGGCCCCTGAGGCTGGCCGGGCCTTTGCCCAGTGGCCTGTAGGCTAGCCGGGCCTCCCGAGAGGGTCTTCTGTGGTGGGGACGGCAGTGGCGGTGGTCCGACCTCCTGCTTCTGGGAGAGACTTGCCCACTGTGCCCAGCTCCTCTTGGGTACCTTGGGCTCTTTCCCAGCTCGGGGACTCCAGATGGGGGTTGCAGGGAGCTCCTTCCTGGGCCCGCCACGGTCTCCCATGTTTCTTTCAGGGCTCTCTGGCCTTGTTTCCCCCCTTTAGCTGATGGTACCCTGGGTGTCTGCCCCTGCCTGGAGGCCGGTGCCTCCCCTCCCCTGATAGCACCTCCCTGAAGCCCGGGGTTTCTGGAAGGGGGCCTGGTCTCCTCTCCCCCTACCCTGGGAGTGAGTCCTCCGGCTGGCCAGCCTGAGCTGCCTGCTTCCCTTCCACTCACACAGGTCCCGCTTTCCTTTCTGGCTCGTGAATTAGATGGTTGTGGCTTTGAGTGTCACTAGCAGGTCTGCTCAGGAACTAGACTAACCAGTAGCTTTACCTTGGGTCATCCTGATACATGGCTTTGAGGGCTGATAAAGCAATTGTAGACCCTCCCCCTTGGATCCCAGTGGTGTGTCCTTTAGCCCCCGTGGGCTCTGTGGGAATAATAGGAGTGATGATAAAAGTTTTCATTCTAACATCTGAGGCTTTGTGTGTTTTGTCTGGTCTGTGCTGTAACGCTGACATCACGGTCTCTTGGTGTACGTGCCTGCCCTGCCCTCCGACACACACACGCTCACAGGCCCATGGTCCTGCCTCCAGCCCCACGGCCAGAACCCCCTGACGGTGACCTGGCAGGTGAATACGTGCTGCCCCTTAGGCTTGGGCTGGCCAGCCAGGTGTGCCGGGGCTGGGTTAAATGGCAGGGGCGTCTGTTTTGCATGGTGTGTGTGCTGAAAGCATCAGTGGTGACGAGACAGCTCGTTGGGAGTTGGTTCCGGGGGCCCCTGGCAGAGCTGGGCACAGCTGTACCTCTCGGTCCCTCCTGGTGCCAGAGAGGCATTGGTTACAGGGACTGGTGCCTCAGCCTGAGGGCAAAGACCTTCTGAAGGCAGAGGCGTGGAGGCTCAGCCTGGCGGTGACACACCAGTCTTCCAGGGGTTTTGTGGCCCAGATGCCTCCATGCCGCTCATCTGTGCGTGCTGTGGGCTGGACCTTCCCCCCACAGGGAGTTCAGCCTGATGCTGAGAGGCTGGAACAGCTCAGACCTCTCCCGCTGCTCCCCGTGGCCCCACTTCTTGGGGGCTGGCTGGGGTGGTTTGGGCTGGAGGGGTAACTCAGTAGGAACTGAGGTGGGAATAAAGGAACTGACACCCTCCAGAAGGGGGCCTGCTGGGCCTCCATGCGTTGCCCTTAAGACTCTTCCGCCCCCCCCCAAGGCTGCTGGACTCGATGGTCACCGGGGTAGGGTGTGCCCCAGTGTCCCTGCTACCATTGGGCCCCATTCCCGAACTGCTCAACCCTTGGGAGTCTGGGACCTTTGGAAGTCTGGGATGGGAAGGAACTGGCAGGGGTGGGGAGGGAGCCTGGCTGGGGCTCCGGGTTGAGTGGTGACCAGAGGGGACTCAAGCTGGGGGGCCCTGGCAGGTGTGCCACTAGCAACAGCAGGCTGCCTGCATGCAGGGCCGGGGCCAGGCGGCCGTCCCAGCACCACCGGGTCAGGGTGCTGATCCTGGCACGGTCCCCCTGCCTTCTCCTGCCTCCAGGACAGGGGCTGCCTCTGTCTTGAGTGGCCCCAGCTTGGAAGTTCTGGGCACCCGTTCTTTGAGATCCATCTCTCAGCCTTTCTCTGCTTCTTCTCCTGGGTCAAGTGACCAGGCCCTTTATGCTCGGCGTTGTCTGGACTTGGGCACTTTCTCAGTTCCTCCAGAAAGCCTCTGGTGCTCCGGCCAGAGGGTCACTACTGGCATAGGAAGCCAACCACCATTCCAGCGTGGCTTTCCAACAGGGAAAGTTTTCATTTTTTCCCCCAAGTAGCAGATTTACATTCCTAATGATGTTTGCTCAGGCTCGAGTTAGCTTTCATTCCTTGAGATAACCAGTGGAGAATAGGGTGGGAAACCTCAGACTGGTCTGTGATTTCAGTTTTGCTGAGCTAATCCCCCAGACGGATAATCCACTTGCAGATAATTGAGGTTTGGTTGTCCATTATCTTTTGTTAGCAAAGTGTGACAGGCAGTGCTTATAAGGACACATCCCAAAAGAAAGTTGGCAACGAGGCTTCTCCCTCACCTCCCTCTAGCGGCACCTTCTTCCAGAGAGCACGGAAGCTGGAATCCTCAGTATGACTTTTCAGCTGCTTTTTCTCATACCTGGTCCGTGGTTGCTTCCTTTTTTGAGTTGTATTGTGTGGTGCAGGCTACACTATCCCTCGTCACGGGAGGGGTGGTCCTCGGTCACTTGTCTAGCAAAGTCCCCTCTCCCAGAGGTGTCCACAGCACCCCTTACTCTGGTTTACAGGCTGGGGGGCTGGGTGAAGGAAGAATTCCGTTTTCCCCCTCCTGAGGCCATGAGACCAGACGCCCATGATGCCTTCTGAGTCGTGTGAGTGCTCAGGTTTCCCTGCACAAATCCTGTCACCTCTGTCAGGACAGCCTGGCCCCCAAGGGCGCTGACAACAACTACCAACAGCTTTCACCAGAAGACACCTCTGCGGAGACCGGAGGCGGTCAGAGCACAGGCTCGGGCCAGTTCTCAGTCCAGCTGCCCCAGGTCCTCTGGGGACCTCTGCCTGACTATCAGTCGCGGAGGGCGGGAGCACCTCAGGCTGGCCATGGAGGGGAGGGCCCTGGCCTGCCAGCGGCAGGGGGTCTCTTTCTTCAATAGCTGAGCCCTGTTCTCTGTGCAAGCCACTCTCAGAACTTAGCTCCCTCATTTGTCACATGAATAAACACAACATGTGAAACAGGTGAAAGCAGTACAGCTGACCCTGGAACAACATGAAGGTTAGGAGCACTGGCTCTCTGGGTGGTCAGATACACACGTACAACATAACAGTCAGCCTTCTGTTGATGCTATTCTTCCTCCTCCAGGTTCCTCTTCCTGGGTTCAGCTGATTACAGGTGGTGTACCACCTGTCACAGTATTTGCTATTGAAAAAACCCGCATATAAATGGACCCTTGCAGTTCAAACCCTTGAAAACTGTTCAAGGGTAAGCTGTATTTTATTAGCATAACTTGTTCTATTCACATCTGTAACATTTGTTCAAAAGCTAACAGCTGAGAAGAACAGACGCAGTCCTGACAGACATCTGGGGCTGGGGTAGCCACCTCGGTGTCTTCTATCTCCACAGCATCTCGCATGTTTGTTTCTCGCTTTGATTGTACAGATAAACGCAGAAGCAACAGATAAACGCTGTACGTGGTGACAGTGTTCAGACGCTTATCTTAAGGCCTCGGGGTCTCAGGATCTGTTTCTGTTCAAGGGAGACTGTGGGAGCACCTCCACTCCAGCCAGTCGATGGGGTGGCGGGTCTTCAGTGAGTTAACGTTCCGTCTGTGGTGACCTTAAAGGTGAATGTTGCTTTCTCTTACGGTTCTAAAACAGTAAACACACACATGCAAAGAAAAGAAATGAAGTCAACCTTGACTCAAAGCTGAGACACGTGTGTGGAACCAAAATAGTTTGAAGGTCATCAGATTGAACCCTCCTAAGGGCTTTCCCGATGTTCCGTGACCTCTAGGGCTCTGTGCAGGCCCCCGCTTGGGCGGGATGCTGGGGGCAGGTCCGGGACTGAGACTGAGTCGAGCTGCAGCTCCCAGCTGGTGGGGTGAGGGCACAGCCAGCCTCGAGGGCCACCGTGAGGTGCTGCCTGCCACTAGTACCTGTGCAGGCCGAGCCTGGGCCCGCCCGGCACCAGGGTTAGGGTTAGGGTTAGCGCAGGCGGTGCTGTCCCAGTTGGCAGCAGCCCTGGGAATTCCCCAGTTGCCCCCCAGGAGCCTCTGGCTCTCAGTCTCTGCTAATTTTCACATTCGCACAGTTGACGCTGTCGTTTCATGGGCTCCTTTTTCAATGCAAGTGCACACGAATGTTATGAAGAGTAATCTCTACTCTGTTTTGCCTTTCCTTTCTGTTTCCCCGTGGCCACAACTAATGTCACTTTTGAATAAATAGTGAGTAAGTGGAATTCTTTGTGTGAGGCAACCAGGGGAAACCCAGGGTGGAGAAGGTGAAGACTGTTCTGTTTACATGCCAGCAGCTCTTCTGTAAATTCACTTTACAGCCAGTGCAACGAAAGTCAGCTCTTAAATGTTTAAGAATGAAAAGTGCCTAGCTCTTCGTTTTGCAGAACTCAGCCTGCCATGAAATGGGCGTATCGGGGGCCAGTGGGAACCAGTGATCCCAGCTCAGGGGTCCCGTGGGGAAGACCGTGGGGAGCAGGGGCAGCTTGCTTGGCATCTGGGCAGGAAGCCTGGGCCGCCTGCCGAGTTCTCTTTGTACACGGAGTTCCTGTGTTGGTCGGAAATGCTTTGTGGCACGGTGTGCTCAACGGGGAGTCAGGTGTGGGTGCCAGCTCCCACCTCACCCGTTTTCCTTTCTGCCCCCAGACCTGCAATGCTTCTTTTGCCACCCGAGACCGCCTGCGCTCCCACCTGGCCTGTCATGAAGACAAGGTGCCCTGCCAGGTATGCGGGAAGTACTTGCGGGCGGCGTACATGGCAGACCACCTGAAGAAGCACAGCGAGGGGCCCAGCAACTTCTGCAGCATCTGTAACCGAGGTAATCGCCCTGCTGTTCACTCACGTCGGGGGGCGGGCCTGCGCCCCGCCTCAGGCCCCGCTCTGCACGGTCACCCCTCCTGCCACCCCACTGGGCGGTGAACACCTCACCCTCAGCTAGCTGTTTGTTGCACTTTCCCTTCCCATCAACTTGGGGAGCTTGGAGTGGGAGCTCCCAGGAGGTCAGCAGGCAGGGACGGAAGGAGAGAGGTGTTTCCCAGGCTTGGGGCCATGACGCACCTGCTGCCCCCGGGGCAGGATGGATGCACTGAACCACTGAGGTCGGTGGGAATTGTGAGACCCCCGAGAGGTAGGAGAGAGAGAGACTGACCCAAGAGCCGTGCCTGCTGAGTCACAGGCACACGGGTGAAAGTCAGCAGCCAGGTAAGGAGGTCAAGTCCATAGGTGGACAAGGGCCAGAACTTTCTAGTGTATGTGGTCAAAGGAATCCAGACCCGGGTGGACGTGGCCTTGATGAGGGCAGAACATGGCAGGTGCTCTGAGCAGGGCAGCGTGCTCGCAGCCGAGGTCGGCCTGGGTGGCGTCTGACGGTCGTATTGGGTGAAGTCGCCCCTGCCGGCCCCCGGAAGGGCTGAGGCTCATGTTGTCAGAGGAGGAGGCTGTGCCGTGTCTGCCAACGGAGTCAGCTTGGCTGTCCGGCGTGTGTGAGGAGGCTTCTGCATGGTGCGCTTGGCTTGGCTGGGGAGCGGGGGACGGGGCTGGGAGGCCTGTCTCCTGGGACGCACTGGTCCCAGTGCTCCTGGAAGTCCTGTGTGTGGCTTCATGGACGGAGGACTGAGCCAGGAAGCGGGGGACTCTGGGTGTCGCCGGCCCCTCCCACCTCACCTTCCTGTGCGCCCTTGAACTCTCCCCTCCCCTGTGTCTAAGGCTGTCTCCTCATCTCTACAAGGGGTTGAGAACACCCCGTTGCCCACACACAGGGCTGTGTGAGGATCCCGGGAGACGGGGTGGGTGACTGTTCTCTGGGCCGTGCAAGCCACAGCACACTTGGAGGCCCTCCTTTGTCGCCGTGTTGGGAGAGACACAGCTTGCCGACACTCTGGTCCGGACCAGGCACAGCACCTGTGCAGTCCTTGGCCGGGGTCTCGGAATCCTGTGGAGGGTGCCTGCAGAGAGGCCAGGTGTTCCTGCCGCCCTGGGCTGGGTCCACCCCTTACCAGGACCGCACACTTGGGGTTTGCCCTGAAGGCTGCCGGATGCTGATGTGCGTACCATCAGGAAGTGCTGTGGAAGCGGGCAGGTTGGGAGGTGGTCAGAAAAGCTGCGGAGGCATCTGTCCTATTTTCTGCATGTCCATAGAGGGCAGTGGGGATGCCCGGCTCCGGGAGGAGACGGTTCCTTGTCTGGCTTCCTCCTGACGTGGCTTCCTCCTCACGCCCTGATGGCCTCAGACCCGCCGCATCGTGCTGTCAGCAGCTGCTGTCAGGATTTCAGGGTTGAAGTTCTCAGCCTGAGAGTAGACATCGGAGACCAGAGGTGGGAAACCAATGCGCGCAGAGGAGGATGCCAGCAAGAAAACTGAGATGAAGCCTGGATTACAGAGGCAGGGAGATGGGGTGGGGGCCCAGGGCCACAGCCCTTGGGGACCCTGCTCAGGAGGAAAGAGCTGAGGGCAGCAGGGAACAGCAGGGAACGTTGACCCAGTCAGGAGACAGCTGATGTGGCAAAGTCAGCAACTCCTGAAAGTCAGGCTGTGTTTGCCCTGAGCTGATGAGGACTGAGCAGCAGCCACAGGCCACGTGGCCCCAGTGGGTGGGCTGCCGGGAGAGTAGAACCAGAGGCCACCTTCCCTCAGAAAAGCCCCTGGATCTGGACTGTAAGCAAAGCAGCTTTGGGTCCCAGCGTCAGAGCAGAAGTCCTATTCTTCCAAGAAGAGAGAAGAGGGCTCTAGTCCAAACCACCCTGGGTCCTCAGAAGGAAGAGCCTTGGTCTTCGTCAGAAGAGAAGAAGCAGGGTTCTACCTTGGACTCATTCCTTGGGCAGAAATCCTCCCCCGCCATGAAGAGGAAGAGGAAGGCAGTTTTTCCAGGAAGAGGACAGGCCACTGAGACACATAGACCCTGGAATCAGATCACAGGGAGCTCTGGGCTGACCTTTCAAGGCTGTGATGCAGGAGCTGCCGCAGGAATTAGGTGATGTCCTTCTGTCTTCGAGGGTCCAAGCAGAGGGTCAGCCAGCCGATCAGCAGGTGAAGCTGGATAAGGTCGGTTTCCAGGTACCTTCTGAGAGCCTGTAGTCCCAGCAGTCCTTGAGCAGTCAGCTCAACCACTCACCCGTCTGCCTGCTTGCAGCCACACAGAAGACTCTTGCCTATGAAGATTGGGAGAGCGCGGATCCCACGCTGGAGATAGATGACCTTGTCTTTGAGCTGGAGACCCATCGGGATGTGGGCCGTCCCATCTTAGAGGAGATGAGTCCCAGCAGGGGAGTTGGATGACTGCAGAAGCCGGTTCTCTCACCTTTGAGTTGAGGAAGTCAGCTGAGTTGAGCCATGGGGAGGACCTGGTATGATAATCGCCACAATTTCCCTTCTTCTAAAGTTTCTGTGGCAGGTCGTGTACATGTGCGTGTGTCCTGGGATGAGGGAGGGTGAGAGAGAGCATGTTGGGAGTCTCTCTTTGACCGAGATGTTTGCACTCCCGCATCATTGCTCCAAGGGTAGAGAAGGCCTTCTCCCCAGCCAGAGGCGAGCACACACTTTGTCACCAACGCCAGTCATGCTGTCTCCTGGGCCGTGCAAACACAGACCTGCTCAGCGCCCCCTCCAGCGCGGCTCAGTTCGGCACGGACCCACCAAGGTGTGGACCTGGAGAAAGCAACCTCTGACCCCTGCATGGATGTGGAAGCTGTGAGCAGAGGGTTTGCCTCCAGAGTGGGAAGGGCACACACCAGCCAAGGACATGCCGTGGAGGCCCAGTGGCCACATGGCAGTAAACTCTCCGCCTCTGGAGTGCGGGAGGGTAGCCCATCGGTGACGGGGGGGTCATGGGTGTGCTTGAGCCCCGTCACCCCAAACCTTGTATCACACAGCCTCTTTGGTTCTTGGTTAGTCAGTGGTAGCAGGCAGGTGAGTTTAGAATTCTGGCCAAATGTGTCTGGCTTCAAACATGTGTTTGCGGAAATCTCAGCTTGTTTCAACCCAGAACTTGGCTGCTGAGCTGCTGTGTGTTTAAATTCTGGGCTCTAGGTGGCAGCTGTGGATGCCGCCTACTACCCACCACGTGGCTTTGCTATAGATAGTAAGCAGTCAGCAGCTGGGGCAGCGTCAAGGGGACCCAGCCACGTGGTCCCCAAACTGTTTTCCAGGAAAACGCAATGAGCTTTCATTGAGCATCCGCTGTGTCCCAGCACAGCTCTTCCCACGAGGAGTAGATATAACAGCTCCTGGGGCTCCTTCCTGCCTCTTCTGTCCCTCTTGGCTGCCGTGGCCCTGTCCTGGTGTGCCAGGAGAGTGGTTCGCTCCACTTCAGAGGCCCCACAGGGATGAAGAGACAAAGACTGCCTGCTGAAGCGGTGTCATCATGTCAGTAGGAAAGTCTGGTATTTCTGCTGCCTGCCAGGGGCAGGGCTGAGGTCCTCCGTCCTGTGGGCCCCCCCCTGCTCCTTTCTGACCACAGCCTCCCTCGAGGGAGTATTCCTGTGGGACCCTTAGAAGCCAGTCTGTTCCCATGCTTGGCTGCAGGCAGACCACCCAGTCACAGCGCAGGACAGCATGCTCTACTAGGCAGGGTGGGACAGTAGCATCCCATCCTGGAGGGTTTTCGTCAGGAAAGCCCAGCTCACCCTGTCCCCCACTTCCCTCCAGAACCACAACTGCTACCATCAGGAGCACATTTGTTAAATGGGGTTCTAAAAAACCTGCCTGCCTGCAGGAGACCCGGGTTTGATCCTTGAGTTGGAAAAATCCCCTGGGGGAGGGCATGGCAACCCACTCCAGTAGTCTTGCCTGGAGAATCCTATGGACAGAGGGGCCTGGTGGGCTACCAGTCCGTGGGGGTCACAAAGAGTCGGACACAACTGAAGCGACTTAGCATGCACACGTGGCAGAGAAGTGCAGGAATGTAAGTGGCGGTAACTGAGCCTGTTGCATAAAGCCAGGGGGTGTTTCTGGGTCCAGGACCAAGACGCAGGGACCATTAGAGAGTCTGCCTAGTGGGGAAGGACCATGTGATGCATGTGGTCCTTGGACTGGGTCCAGGCTCTGCCATTTAGCAGCTGTACCTGTGGCTGTGAAACAAAGCGTGATACATGCAGTGTGCAGGGCCTGGCATGCCTCTGTCACTCGCTGAAGGTGACCTTTACTGAATAATAGTTCCAGCAGTATTTGAAAGCCTGGCCAATCCAAACATTTTTTAAAACTAGTCTCAGGACTTCCCTGGGGCTAGAACTTCATGCTCCCAATGTAGGGGGCGGGCCCTGGGCTCAATCCCTGGTTGGGGAACTAGATCCCACATGCTGCAACTAAAGATCTCACAAGCCACAATGAAGACAGAATAAATAAATATTAAAAAAAAACAAGTCTTGTGCAGACATTCACTGTACTCTCCAGCCACTCTCCACCCATTGGTCACAGGCCCACTGCTACCCTGTGGCTGTAATTTAACGAGGAAATGGAAGTACCCAAGGATGTGTCAGCTGCCTCTGGATTGAAGGGATACCATTGAGGCACTAGCGCCGCATGTGGGCCTTTTGCAAAGTTTTGGTTCCTGCCGAAGGCACTTCTGGGTCCTTGGCTGTAGGGGGACTTGATGTCACAGATCCTTCCCATGAAACCCCAAGTAGAGTTCCTTTGACTGGCCCAGCCGGTTCCATCTCCCAGGACTTGTGGCTGCTGCGGAAGCTGATCCAAGATCCACTCTTCCCAACCTGAGGCATCTCAAGGCCCAAATGACCTCGGAGCATGAGTGAGGCAGCTCCCAGACGGTGGGGTTGCCTCTCCCCGACAACAAAGACAAGGACTGGCCCTCTTCCTTCTTCCTTAAGTGAACCTGATGGATCCTCCACAACCTAACCAAGAAGACCACCGTGAATGAGAGATGACTGCACCCCTTCTTTTAAGACAACTTCCCATTTTCATTGTTCCTCAGAAAGTCTAAACAGTCACTAAATCCAGTCATTCTGCAGGTGAGCACGTGAGCAGAATAGAGCTGGTGCTGACCATCAGGAGAAGGGGGACTCCGGAGGCGCTTCTTGGGGACTTGGTTTTGCCTGCGTCCCGTCTCTTGTGCAGATGGTTTGCCTTTGTGAGTGTTAGGCGACTGGAGTCCCGCGGCTGCCCTGGAGTCCCTTGTGTTTTCCTGTGCTTCTAGTTGGGTCCCCGCAGCTGGTGTGGGACTGTGAGCCGTCCGCTCGGACCGCTGGCCCCCTTGCGGCACCGAGCAGTCTGGAGGCAGCTGGCCTCTGGCCCGGGCAGGAGCGGGGTCTCAGGCCCTCCCTCCAGGCGGACTCCACCGCAGCCTTGCGGGGCGGGCTCTGAGAGACGCCGACTCAGGACGGTGCCGCCGCCCTCCTGAGCCTGGCAGTGGCTCCTGTGGCTGCGGCGTTCTCGAGCCAAGGAGGGCCCCTGTTAGGAGTGCTAGCCCGCGTGGCCAGAGGAGAGGCGAGGGGGAAGCAGAGAGAGGTGTCTGTGTGCCGGCCGCGGATCTCATCTCCTTTTGTCTTGTTTAGGTTTCTCCTCTGCCTCCTACTTAAAGGTCCATGTTAAAACCCACCACGGTGTTCCCCTTCCCCAGGTCTCCAGGCACCAGGAGCCCATCCCGAATGGGGGAGCAGCGTTCCACTGCGCCAGGACCTATGGCAACAAAGGCAAGCGACCCCTTGCTCTGCACTTTGCTTCTCTGCGCAGACTGTGTCGTGGGGGCGCTGGGCCGGGCGTGGGGAGGCGGGAAGGCGGCCGATTTGCTGGCCGCTGCGAGGAGGAGGCTCGAGATCCGAGTGGCAGTGGCCTCCAGGACTAGAAGTCACAGCGGGGGGCTCACTGCAGGGCACTGCCAAGATCCAGCCCCCGCCTCCTCTTCCCCAGCCCTCCCCCCGCGCTCCTGGCCAGTCCCCACATCTAGAGCCCTGAGGGACGCCCCGGCCCAGGCAGGAAGAGGAGCGCTGCATGATGAGCCTCTGGGCCTGTCCGTTGCCTGTGGCCCTTCCAGGAGGGCGTGGTGCTGCGGCTGAACGCTTTCTTTTCCTTTGAGCCTGTGGGCAGGGGGAGCCAAGGTCTGGCTTCCCCCTCGGCAGGGGCCGTTGGCTGCTGTGGGCAGCCCATTCCGGAGAGCCTCTGGCCGCGTTTGTGAGATGCATGGCGCTGACTCCGACTCGGTTTGCGTAGAGCTCCCTAGGCCCCACCTCCACTGGTTGATTCCGGTTGTTCTGCGGTATTTCAAGTTGTTGTTGCCTTGTGGGTGACGCCCGGGCTTGGCAGATGGCAGAGCTGGCATGCTCCACACTCCCATCACAGACCTCCCTTCCCGGCATGGCGCTCTGAACCCAGGCAGGAAGCTGCTCGTGGTGGAGGATTCCCGTGTGGGCCGGGCAGGGCAGATGAGCGAGGGCTGTCCTGAGGCCCGGCCTGTCCCGGGCCCTGCGTATGGACAGCAGCCGATGGAGTTGTTCAGTTCCTTCTAAGCTGTTGTGCTTTGACCAGTTGGCCCGGAAGGCTTCTGGCAGGCGGAGGCGCGGAGGGGCTGGGTGTGTGTTCGCAGCGTTGGGAGGACCGGCTCAGCCTCAGCGGTCGATGGGGTCTGCCTGGGTCGAGGAGCCCACGGCTCTGGTTCCGCCTTGCTAGGGCGCAGCCAGTCTGGTGCCGAGGTGAGGTCACCGATATATCTGCTCAGCATCGTTACCACAGCTGTTTCACCCGCAGAGGCACCTGAGAAGGCGCCTAGGAGTTGGGCTCTGGAGTTGTCCGGGTGGAGGCAGTGGCGGCCCCCTCTCCACACCCTTCCTCGAAGCAGGCTAAGATGGCGGCGAGCGGTACACGTGCGCCTGCGTGGAGAGTCCGCGGCGACGGAGGTCAGCGGCCCCAGGCCCTGCTGCCTCACCACCCCGCCCCCCCCGTAGGCACGCCGGGCTCCCCGACTGACCCGCAGCACTTCCGTGGGTTCTGCTGGGCCCTGGCTGGTCATCAGCTGCCCTCCACGAGTTCGTGAGCTGGCCCCTGGCGACCCCCTCCAAGGGGGCATCGCCAGAGCCTGGCCTCACCAGCCCCTCTGTGTTCTGTTTCCTCCTAGAAGGCCAGAAATGCTCGCATCAGGATCCGATTGAGAGCTCCGACTCCTACGGCGACCTCTCGGACGCCAGCGACCTGAAGACGCCTGAGAAACAGAGCACCAACGGCTCCTTCTCCTGCGACATGGCGGTCCCCAAAAACAAAATGGAGTCTGACGGCGAGAAGAAGTACCCCTGCCCGGAGTGCGGGAGCTTCTTCCGCTCCAAGTCCTACTTGAACAAACACATCCAGAAGGTGCACGTCCGCGCCCTTGGGGGCCCCCTGGGGGACCTGGGCCCCGCCCTCGGCTCGCCTTTCTCTCCCCAGCAGAACATGTCTCTCCTCGAGTCCTTCGGGTTTCAGATCGTTCAGTCCGCGTTCGCCTCGTCCCTGGTCGACCCTGAGGTCGACCAGCAGCCCCTGGGGCCCGAGGGCAAATGAGGCAGACAGACCCTGCGTCCCTGCGGAGACAGCCGCTGGGGACGGCTGAGAAATGCTGTGAATGCGGAGGGAAGTGGTGTCTTTGGGTTCTGTAGCTGAGAAGATTTTTATTCGTTTTTAACTGCCCCCCCTCCAGCCCTGTCGCCCCCACCCCCCACCCATCCCCCAGTGGTCTTTAGAAATAGATTCTCATTGATACTCGGCAGAAATAACCTGTAAGACCCGGTATGGGATGAGGGCAGAAAACACTACACACGGGCCTCCGAGGCGAGGCCAGGGCCGGTTTCTGCGACGGGCGGAAGGAAGCTGCAGCCCCCTGGTGCTCGTCAGTTCTCAGTGGCCCCAGTCCCACACCCACACCTGACAGCGTCCTGGGACCTCGGGGAGTCTGGTCCCCTGCCCCCCTTCTCCAGCCCCTCATCCCCCCTTCTCATAGCCCTCCACAGAAGCCACAGTAGGGTCTCTACCCACTTACACAAAGCTGACGCCCAACTATTTTTAAGGAAGCTGGAAGCCCGCAGCAGCATCCCGTGGACCGTGGGGGCAGTGCCCTCTGAGAGTCCCCCTGAGCTTGACCTTTGACCTGGAGGGCCCCCAGCCTTTCTCTGAGCCCTGCCTGAAGGCTAGCATTCTGCCACTAGGACAAGCTTAGCAATTGAGGACACTCCAATCCCAAATTCCAGTTCTTCTGTGATTTTTTTAACCATTCAACTTGCTGTTGGGTTTTAATTCTCTAATTATTATTATTATTATTATTTTTTAGGACCAGTCGTAGTGAATTGCTACTGAAAGCTATCCCAGGTGATACAGAGCTCTTTGTAAACCGCAGTCACACGTTAGGGTTAGGATTAAAACTTTGTTTAGATGTACCATAATTAACTTGGCTAGTTGATTGTTTGAAGTCTATGGAAGAAATAGTTTTATGCAAAATTTTAAAAATGCCAGTCTGGTCAGGGAGGGCAGGGCTCTCTGTGCTGTTGGAGGGAGGAAGAACCGGCAAGGGTGGACATCATGCACTGTGGTTGTATTGCACGGGAGCAAGCCTGGGTCGACCCTGTGACGTGAATTGATCTGATCAGACTGTATTAAAAACATTAGTACGTTACTCTGCCTGCTGCCCTGAGTCTATTTTTTTTTTCAGCTGTGGGGTTCTCTGGGACCAGGGGGATGGGCAGTCTGTGCCCCTACACCCATGTGCGGTCCCGGGAGGCCTCTCTTCCTCATCATCCACTGGGACCGACAGGTGGGTGCTTCCCTGCAGACTCAGCTGCCAGCGTCCACCCACCCTCTCCCCTTTGTCTTCCACTGCTCTGTGCCCCAGATCCTGAGGGCACAGTGGTGCGCAGGATACGCTCATGGAGCTTGAAGGGAGAGAGACAGGTAGCCAGTAAGCAGACTTAACCACAGAGTCCAGATAAACATCCAAGATGTTAAATAAGCAAGGTAGGAGTAATGACAGGGCCCAGGTGGGTGCTCCAAGCCCGTGAGAGGCGGATGCCACGTGCTGTGGAGCAACTAAGGCCAAGCGCCACAATCACTAATCCTGTGCTGTGAGCTGCAGACACTAAGGCCTCACCGTGGAGCCCGGGCTCCTCAAGAGGAGCCACCGCAGTGAGGAGCCTGTGCACTGCAACTAGAGTGCAGCCCCCGCTCACCACAGCTAGAGAAAGCCTGTGTAGCAACGGAGACCCAGCGCTGCCAAAAGTAGATAAATAACAACTCGTGAAAAAGCCGGAGCACAAGGGGACAGGAAGACGGATGGAAACCCAGACATCCTGAGGAGCCCCGGGGAAGAGGGAAGTCCCTGAACTCATAGAAAGCATTTCACCTCTAAGCAGGCAGAAAGGAAAAGCGAAAGGATGGGCAGGAAATAGACCAGAAGTAAACAAGGCACAACGTGATTTAGACCCACATTAATATCAGTAATTACATTGTTCTGGCTTAAAGGTAAAGACTGATCTGGACTTTTTTTCTTTTTTTAATGGAAATAGAGTTGACATGCATGATGAGAGCTTTGGGTGTACTGCATAGTGATCTGTATATCATGAAACGATCACCAGGATAAGCCCAGTAAACACCTGTCCCCCTACGAAGTTATAACTTTATTGACTGTGTTCTTTACAATGTATATTACATTCTTTGTGGCTTGTTTTGTATCTGGAGGTTTGTACCTTAATCCCCTTCATCTATTTTGCCCCCGCCTCCCATAACTGGATTTTCTTTAAAAGCCCGAAGCATCTGCAGGAAATTTGGGGTAAGTTGCTGGGCTCTGTGGAGTGTGTGATGCAGGCTTTGAGCCCTTTGGGGTGAGTGTCAGGAAGGACAAGGCTGGGAGGGAGCCTGAGTGGAACTCTGGGCCTAATTCTCAGCACAGCCTGTGAGGTGGGTCTGTTACTCCCCCTCCTGCAGGTGAGCAAATGGGCTGAGAGGTGGAGGCACCCCTGCCCTGCCCCCACCACGCCCTCACCCCATCATGTGGGAAGGGGTACCGCCAGGATTCGCACTCAGATCTGCCCTCTGACTCCAGAGCCTCTGCACACGGCCGTATCTGGCACACAGCCGCCTCTGCTCCCCACGAGGCACCCGCAACACGGGCCTCACCAGAAAAAAGCTGCAGAGGATATCCGGGTCAGCGCCAGGAGTGCCTGAGACAGTGAGGGCATGCTTCATCTTGAGACTGACCCCCTCAGCTCCCGGACCCCCTTGTTGTTTAGTCACTAGGCCGTGTCCTGCTCTTTTGGGACCCCATGGACTGCAGTGTGCCAGGCTCCTCTGTCCATGGGGTTTCCTAGGCAAGAATACTGGAGTAGGTTGCCATTTCCTTCTCCAAGGGATCTTTCCCACTCAGGGATCCAACTCGGGTCTCCTGCTTGGCAGGCGAATTCTTTACTGCTGAGCCACCCGGGAAGCCTGGGTCCCTCTGAATGAAGACGCTCGCACACCCCCAGCAGTCTGGAGGACTTGCTCTGGACAGACCTGTCACACCAGGGAGCCTGTCCAGCACTCACTGCCTGGTGGTCTGGGCTAGGACAGGGCACTGGCCTCACCTCCCCACGGTGGTGATAACCCACAGGGGGGCCCTGTGGCACCAAGGGACTCCACCAGCACATGTGGCCACCAAGAAATGTGACCACCGACAGCTGGGAGTGGGGGTGCCCGAGGCAAGTCTCAGGAGGTGCTTCTGAGATTCTTCCACCGCCATGGCGATGCTCCGCGCCTGGGCCTCCTGACTGTGAAGGGGGACACAGCAGTCACCTGGGAGGTTGCAGCGAGGCTGAGTCACACGCATCGGGTGCACCCCTGGGTGTGAGTGGGTCCTAGGCCTTCCCTGGCCCCCTCTGTTGCTCCTCTCTGCCCTTCTCTCTCCAGAGCTCTGTGGGGCCCCCAGAACTATTAATAACTTTCCACATCAGCTCGATTCCTCCAGACTCCCCACTTCAATCCTACACTCTCTACTGGGGCTGCCTGGAGCACAAGCCCCCACTGGTGCAGACCTGCAGTCACAGCCCACACTTAACAAGCGTAAGTGCGATACCCGCCACACCGAGCGCCAGGCGCCCTTCTGAACACTTTACCCTTACACACCCGTTTGCCCTCACAACCTCCCAAAGAGGCAAGGCTGTTCTTACCCTTAAACAACGTGCCCAGAACACGCAGCCTTACAGTGCCTTAAGTGGACACCGGGGCGTGTCCTGGCACCAGGCTGCACACTCCCCCACCCGTCCTCAGCACCTCCCCGCTGGCCCAGCCCCGAGCCTTTTCCCTGAAACCCCCTCCACCTGGAAGGTTCTTCCTCCACAGCCCTGCGCACCTGAGTCTTAGCGTCTCCATGGCCTTCTTCACTGCACTGGCCCCCTTCCCCGGACTGTCACCAGGGGCCCTCTGGCCCTCGGTGGACTCTGAGACCGCCAACGGGGTGAGGGCCCCAGTACCACCTCTTTCTAACCCAGTGGCCTCTGGCAGGCGCAGCTCTTACTCTGGAGGCTGCTGTGAGGATTACACAGGCTGGTGCCTGGAAAGCACATCAGGAGACATTCAGAAGGCTCCCTCCGAGTTTACCTGCATCGTCCCCTCCACCAGGCTACACAAAACCGTGCAAGAGCACAAGAGCGGGACCAGCAAATGTTTTCTGTGAAACAGGAGGGCACACACCTTCAGCTCTGAGGGCCGTGTGGCCGCTGTAAGGAGCAGCCAGGCACAGACACAGCTGGGTTCCCACAAGCCTGCATCGATGGACACTGAGGTTCAAACATCACATGCTTTTCACGTGCTACAAAATAGTCTTCTTTTGTTTTTTTTTCCAACTATTTAAGAATGTAAAGATCATTCTTAGCTCACCTGTCTTACAAAACCTGGTGCATGCCGACTCCCATAGAGTCCTAGTTGGCCGACTGCCACTCGAGACCAGCCTCTCTTCCTGCTCCTCCGGCCTCCCCTGGCTTCAGAGCTCAGACTTCTCTCAGACTCAGGGCCAGCCAACTGCAGGCTCACAGTTTATGTGAGTAAAATGGATCAGGCACCCAGAGCTTTTGATTTCTTGGTCTGCTGATCAGTCCATTGATCCCTGCAGAGTGCAATGCCATGTCCCCCAAACAAGGTCATTCTAAGAACTCCAGGCCCCCTACAAAGGAGCACCTACTGCGCCCAGAGCCAGACCTGCCTGCCCAGTTCTCTGGTCACCTTGTTTTCATTCATGTCTCCTGTGGGGGAAGGGGCAGGGCAGAGGAGGCAGATCAGAGGGAAGTGGGTGGGTGGGGAGCCCGGGAAGTGGGGAGTGAGGCCAGCTCTGTCCCCGTCTGCTCCAGCTTTCTCCCTGGCTTCCCCAAAGGCTTGTGCTCACAGGCACCAGGGATGAAGGGCCAGTTCTGGCAGCGAGGTCAGAGTTTCAGTATCCCTGCAGGAGGAAATTCCACAGCCCTGCCCTCTCTTATGCTGGGTGGCCACGTCAGACTCACCCTAACGCTATCCCCAGGGCCCCGCCAATTCCCGCCAGTTTTCACATCACAGCCCAGCCACCTAGCACCTGGCAGCAGGCCTCCAGAACTCCGGTCTTCACAATCCTGCCTCTTCCCCGCTCTCTGTGGCCAGGGCTTGACCCTCCCAGGCCCTCCCAAGGTGCCTGCTGGACCCTGGGAAGCGGTCCTCACTGGAGAGGTTCAGGGAGCAGGATGTCTGTCTGGATCTGCATCTCCCACTAAACTGTGTGAAAGGAAACACCAAACATTCACCTAAGCGACAAACCCGTCCTGAGCAAACAAGGCTCTTGGAGGATAAGGTGCTGAAGGGAGCCGCCACAGGAGGACCATGCACCTCTACTGCAGGGAAAGCCTGCTGCCTGCGTTCCGTCCAGCACCCCACACGGGGCCAGGCCACACGGGTAGGGGCCAGGCCTGCAGCGCTGAGGGTGGGCCTGCGGGACCATCCACACCTCCCTCCTACTAGCGCGTTCCTTCTCTTCTGTCTCTCTCCTCTCCTGGGTTGGAACCTCTGCCCCGGACCTGCCCCCACCCCATGGTGCTGCTCCTGGCACACTTCCGCCAGAATGGATGCTGTGTGGTTCTTCCA